CCTTAACTGCCATAGGTAGAGTTTTGCGGACAGTTTTGACATTTCATCATTCTGGCTTCATTTTTCACCTTGATCCATATTAAATAAGAAGTTGGACAAAACAAAAAAGTTGTAGTCTTATGTTTTAACTTTCCAACGCATCTGAAAACGCCTCAATCGGACTTTTGTAGCCTGAGTTCTTGTCATTTGAATCCAGTGCTGTTAACCAGGCTGATGGTGGAATTCTGGTTCTGTAATCGGTAAATTTGACCTAGATAAATTATGAACTGAGTTGAGTTGTGTTCATCAAAGTTGTAACCCTTTGTCTTAGCTTCGAAATGGTATAAATTGTACCCCAATCCGATAAGCGTAGCTTCAGTTGTGGCCAATACGCTAAAAGACGTCAAACCTGTCTTTTTATTCTATGCCTTAAACCTTATTTCTGGTTACTTTTCTAGCTTGGTTTTGTGATGGAATGACTTTTGGCCTGTTGAACGGCTATTGCAATGAGATTATTTGTGTGTGATTTTGGGGGTTGAAGGAAAATAATGAAGCCATAAATGGTTGAAAAATAGGTAAATACAAAGGGTGTGCTGCCCAAATTTGCACTCGAGGGCTAGATGGATGTACTCGCGACTTGAGTAAGGGTTGATGATGAAACTAACTTGAATCATCAAAGGTATTCAAGTCTTCTTTCTTAGAGGTATATAAGTTAGAATCTGGCCGAAACTTGTACCCTTGGAAAAATGAAATTTACGACTAATAGAAATACGTTTTCTTCGTTTCTTCAACTCAAATGGAGATTTTAAAGTTTTACGAGCGAGCATAAGTTTTACAAATATTTTACTCATGTCCTTTGGTTTAAATGTACTCTTTTCACTTCCAAAACTATATTTATACATTGTCCTAGTAATTATTCGGATTTTCTTCGATTCACCTAAATCTTTGATGGTAGAACTGTAATGTGTTTTCTTGCTTACTCTTAGGGTTCCTTGGTGATTGAGAGTGCTATCCCGAAGGATATTTTGGACGTTATTTTGCTTAAATAGGTGAGTGTTCTTTGTTTGTTATGTTTCCATTAACTATATGATTTGTTGTGGATATTTGATTAAATGATAAATATTTGTTAAAAATGAATTTTGCTAGGCGAGTGTGTACTTTATCGCACTCGACCTAAATGAAAGGTGAAATTTTCAATGTTTAAGTGATTAAATGGTAGTTGTGTATGAATGTAAGCGTTTTGGCTGAATTGGGCCCTTACCTTTCGTTGCCGGTCGACTCGAGCCAGAAGCGGACTCGGTCGGGCGATTTGGTGATCCTGGGTGAAAGTTTGGTATACTCGAGTATTACCACGTTGTCGGGTGGAGTCTGGTCAATGTCCAGAAGGGAAAGAAATGAAATGAATGAACGGAAGGAGGTTTTCAATTACAAATGAAATTTTAAATATTGGAGGAATAAGGAAATGAAAGGAGAAAGAAAGAACGAAAGGCTCCACGTGAGCATGTATCCTTTTAATAAATGTGTTATCATTACTTCATATTGTAATGTTCCTGGATTACTTGTTATTACATGATTAATGTCCTTGTTTAAGTTGATTATGTATCTGGAACCCCACTGAGCTTTTAGCTCATTCCGTTAGTTTTGTTTTCCTTAACAGGGGATGCGAGCAAGGACGAGAGATCTGTACAGACTAGTCTAGTTTAGTTATTTTGAATTTCTGTAATGGTTCTCGCCCTAGCGCTTGGTAAGGGTTGGATGTATGAAGAATTGAGAACCTTTGTATCTTTGAGTTGTATCCCTTTTGTTTTAAGTTTGGAATTATTGTTCCACCTGTTCTGGTGGTCTTATTTTTCATTTTTACTTGAGGTGTATGAGTGAGTCCCGACGAGAGTTGGGCAAACGGCCCGCCGAACTCTTTGGTTCGCCTTAGGGGAAGGTAGGGCTGTCACATTGATAATAAAGTTTTCATCAAAAAATTTGATAAAATGACACAACACTTAGACATAGTAGTTGTTGGATTAATGCTTTACTTTTAAGTTGGAATATGGAGCACCTTATTAGGGAAAACAAAACACTTACTTGCATGATATTAAAAAAATGGTAAAATACCAAAGAGTTGAAAATTTTGTTGTGAAGTTAAGAAATTTCAAAAGAATCCCCAACAATTGTACACTAGTTTATGATTTCTTTTCTTTCTTTGTTTAAATTATAAATGAATAGACTTTGATCATTTTCACTTATTTTATAGTTTCACAAGATTCTCATGAGTTAATAAGGTGCAAATTGATGTTTTTGTGCCAAATTTGCACCTTACTTTATATTTTCTTTGGGTTCTAAATTATTTGATGAAAAAAATTTGAGATTCTATAAACACATTTTCCACTACACTTTTAGTTTTTCAATCACTTTTATCTCACATAAGTCACATACAAAAGCGTTACATAAAAAAATTTCCAAATAATCTTATTTCCAAATGGGTTCATTAATTTTATTTCATTTAATATATGCAATACCGTCAAATTATTTTAGACTTTTTTTTTTGCAAAATTTTTGTTTTTTTATTGCTAAAATATGGAACACATGGTGTAGTTTTGTTCAAATAGATATAACAATTGTTGAAAAGATTCATTAGGTTATAATTATAATATGTGTTCAGGAATTAACTAGGGGTATTTTGGTCATGCAAAATATACCTTCATCTTAACTTAGAAAATTAACATGATTTGGAGCTTGTATGATTAGAAGCTTGTATTATGTAACTGATTATACATAGTTTGATATGCACGATTTTGATGCTGCATATGCAATAGGAGTACTTGGTACATTATTAACAAATGAAATGGCACTCATTAGCATGCAATTGGCCTCTTATAAAATACATAGCTAAAGCTAATTTTTATGATTTATTATCTACAAATGACCTACTATTGTTAAAAGATTCATGATATAGATTGGGATATATTATCTTGAGATTCGTCATTGATCATTGGATATATTTCTCTTTAGCCGGTGGTGTCCGTGTAGATTATGATTGAAAGTACAAAGATTTATCAATTGGAAGCTATTTCAAAGTCTTAATGTGTTATTTTTGAAATTAGAAGGAATTTTTTTCCCTCTACTGTATTTGTTGCTTTTATATAATAGCAGTTTTATTTGAATGTACTCATATTATCCATAAAAAGGAAAGAATAAAGGGCAAAAATAGTCACTAAACTATTTAAAATTCCGTATGTTGGTCAATAAACCTTTTGTTTAATCAAAATAGTTAGTTAAATAATGAAAAGTGCATTTCTTTGTCACTCAACTATGAACACTTTCACTTTTAGCCACTCAACTAATGAAAACATATAAGAGGTTGTTTGGGTCACAATTTGTATGTTCTAATTAGTGAAAATGATCATTTTGGCTAAATAAAATCTAAACTAGAGAATTTTGAATAACTTAGTGATGATTTGTGATATTTACTAGAGATTAGAACATCTCTTTAAGTTTTTCATCCTTTTTAAATTAAGTCTTTCTGTAATTTAATAAAAGCCAACTTAATTAAAAGGTTGTTTGGGATGTAGTATTTTTGTTGAAAAAGAACTTTTGGGTGATATAAGTGTTTTGAGGTGTTTGGTAAGCATATACACATAAACTTTTGAATTGAGTATTTACCATGAAAAACATTTTGTAGTGCAAGGTAAAAAATAGTGATTTGCTTATAACTTTTAAGTTTCAAAAAGTAAAAACAACACTTAGACCATTTTATCATAAATTCTAAACTCAACAAGGAGATAAATATATTTTAAAAATTCAAAATTACGTATTGTGCAATACAATAAGGACTTATGTAAATATGCAATATAATGATTTTTGAGACATTTGATTAAACTAAAATCGGAAGAGTAAAATTTAAGTACCGCAATCTAAATCTATTAATTTTGATAAAGTCAAGTCTATTTGATAATTTGGTGAATTTGACCAAAGAAAAATGTATGTAAGTATTACTTTTTAATATTGACATACTATATTCTAATATGAAAGGTTTGTTTACACGTGTATAAGTGACAAATAGAGGAAAAAAAGTGTGTTTGGAAAAAGAAAAAGTATGTTTTTGTGGGTGTAGTAGATAAATTCTGCTTGAAGATGTGTGTAATATAAGAGAGAGAGATAGAGTAGTATAAACATATTTGTAAAGCGTACGTGAAATAATAATATCAAGTGAGCATATTATACTACTTTAAAAAGTTCAACAAGCAAAGTGATATAGTTTTTACTTAAAAATTTTGTATATTAATTAAATGTTATTAAAGTAGTCAGTGATGAATTTTATTTTCAAACAAGCTTATCTAAAAAAAGAATTCATAACTCATTTATTTTAAATATTTAATGGAGTTATTAAACACGTACTTCTTAATAAGCCGTAGCAGGTTCAAAAAGATGCTAAAATTAGTCAACTATTGATCATACTTTCTATGAAAAAACTTTAATCAAGACGCATATTTTACATGGAGTAGTATGCATATTTATATTGAATAAATATTTTAACGTATTTTGTAATCGTATTACTTATTTTGAAAGTTAACTCGTATTAAGGCTTACCAAAAAACATTCGTATAATTGGACCAACCTAATCATCCATTTGACATTCAACCAACAAAAATGTTCTTAACATACTCAATTAATTGAATCAAAGGATTCATACCCATCCCAATCAAATTACTACTACAATAAAAATTTCATAATTTTGTTCGTATTTGAATCAAATCGACCTGTATCACGTAACCGATCCGCCCCCCGACCCACCCATTTCCTAAATCTAGAGGCTGTCCATATTCCTTTGCCTGTACACATTCCTTTAACCCATCCCAATTGGTTTCCCCCACGCATTTGCATACCTCAGTTCTTGGCAAGGAATTTTCAATTACTCTTATGAAAACAACACAAACCAAAAAACCACCCACAACCCCACTATCCAATCCAAAAACTATATCTTCCCCAAATTAAAGAAAAACCCAATTCCTAATTAATCTTTTTTCTTCTTCATTTTCAAGTTTTTTTAATCTTGTTTTTTGTTTAAAGAAAATTTGATTTAGGATAAATTGCTTGCTTATGCACCTAATCTTCTGCCAGTAGCATTGGCATACCGACAACAAATATAAAAAACAAATTGGAATATTATTTTTTTTAAAAATTGGTTTAGTTTTTCATTTCTTTTATTTTTGGGGGCCTTTTTGGGGTCTATTTATCTCCTATCCTTTATACACCTTTACCCCCATCATAATTCTTCACTGTACTTTGCTTTTCTATCCGGAAAATCCCACTTCTTCTCCATCAGTTTTGATCTGGAAACATCAAATCCCTTTCTGGGTCTTGCAGATTCTCCCTGAATCTCTTCATTTTCTTGGTAATTTTTCTAATTTTTATTTCATTTTTGTATTTTTATCCATTTCTTCAGTTTATTCTGCACTGATTCTACTGGTGCAGATTCTTGAAGTTGGATTGGAATGAATTTTGTAGGTTGCTTTTGTTTTAGTTTGTTCTTACCTGATTAGGGTTAGATTTGATTTGATTGATGCTAATGAATTAATTTGCCTGCTGATTTTTGGGGGTTTTATGATTCTTGGAATCTGATTATTAATTTCAGTGGCTTTTATCTATTGGGAACTTGAACTTGCAATTCTGACTATCTTTAAAGATTTGGGGTGGAGAGTTGCTTGACTTAGGCATTCAGTTTGTTCATTTGGAGCAGAGTTTGTTCTTTGGGATATGGACTGTCGAGGAAGTTGTAATTGAATATATTTGTTGCTGTTGTTGATGGATTATCATTTTGTCCTCCTTAGCTTCTTGTGGATTTCAATTGTTGGCATTTGGTGGTGTTCTGGTGTTGTATACTAGTTTGTTTAGAGCAATGCCCTTTAATGATTTCCGTGAAGCTGCACAATGGACATGGGAGCTTGGACTGTTTCATTACGCTTACATTCTTGTTTTTGTTGTAATCAGTGGTTGTTGCTTGTAGTATGATCAGATGAACAAGATGCTGATTGTGACTATTTAAAGACACTAAGCAGTTTTCTCTTGGTGGAAACTGACCCTTGGAGAGTGCTCTGTTTTTTCTGTCTGGAACCATAGTTGTCAAATGAAGACATAGTTGTTAGAATCAATGTTGCAGACCCGACTGCATAATGTTGGCAATAGTGGTGTTGGTGTTGCTGCAAGTTGTGTATTGATGTAAATTCCTAGGATAAAGGTTTCAGTTGTGATTATTTTCTGATTCAAAGGGAGTTGGTATTAGTAATGGTTGTGCTGAGGTATTCTGCTTGGCTTGTTGCTTATGTTGATCATCTGCTTACATCAAAGACGAATTATTCTTTCTTCAATTTTGTGTCTTAAATGACTGTACATTTTGTGGTATTCTACTTGGCTTGTTGCTTAAGTTGATCATCTGCTTACATCAAAGGCGAATTATTCTCTCTGATATTTTGTGTGTTAGATGACTGCACGTTTTGGTACAGCTAATTTGATGATATACTTTTGGTGTGAAAGTATAAGTGAGTTAGGGGTTTTTATGTTTTCTTTCCTTAATTATTAATGGAACATGCTGAGGCTTGCTTACAGTTGTTATGCAGTTATTCAGTGTCAATGTACTGGGATATAACTTTATGAGATTACTTTAAGAAGAAGGCATCTCACCTTTTGTGATTGAAACCACCATTTTGTTTATTGATAATGTGTTGTATTACTAAGAGGAACTTAGTGCAGTGACGGATGAAGGATTTTTAGGTTGTGGACAGCATAATGGTCTGGACCTTGTTTTCTGAGTTTTACCATTTCGAGCCAACAATCTCACTTCCTAGACGGTCATTGTTTCAAAATGTTTGAAATTTCTTACAGTCTGTACAAGTTTGGGCAGAGCTAGTTGGAGCTTTTCTGGTGCACCATTTTGAACCACTCAGAAGCATATTATCATTTCTTTATTGTGGAGTAGTTTGAATTTGGTGGTATAGATTCTATGTGGTCATATTTCAAAGAAGTAAGATCCAGGTCTCTTGTTAAACAATTTGGATGGACAACCTTCAGTCATGATTTGCAAGCTTGAGAGACTTTTATTTGTTAGGTGATGTGCATTTCGAAGTACTAATGCCCAAGTGATAAAGTGAGTTATTCAAAAGATCATGCTTTGGTCTGGGCATCCTAGGTTTTGATGCCACTGTGCTCTTTCATTTTTGTGGACATGGATTTCTTCCCTTTGATGAATGGGCCAAAAACAAATCAGGTGATGATGTTACACCAGATATGTGGACTGGGTATGTCAACATTTATATATTATAGAACCTTTGCCTCTATCAAAAGCTATTGTTATATTGGGGAAATAACTAGTGAGATTTTTAACAGAGTTTTGTGCTAAATTCCTCCTAGTAGGAATCTAATTAGAAGAATTTCTAATTGGGTTAACAGATTTGTTTTCTTTAAAGTTCAGTTGCATCCATTGTTAAATGTCAGGAATGTGAAATTTCCCGTACTTGCATCTCGAAGTTTCATCATTCTGGGAGTAACCCAGCATCAGGACTAAAATGTGATAGACATGCTCAATTGGTTTATCCTGCACCGAAGCTGTTAAACTGGTTTTGCTGGCTAATGTGCTCTTGGTGCCTAAAAATTGCAAGTTTGGCCTTTGCTTGTATTGTCACTGCCTCATTAGGGTTTGGGATGAATTTGTACTTTCTTGTACCATATTACTTACTGTAGACTATGCATAATTGTTTCTAGAGAGGGACTGCAGGGAAAAACTATGTTTATCCTGTAATCAGGAGGTGGAGAGATTCATTAATCTATTAGGTGGACTGATCTCTTACATAATTGTAACTTTTCGTTTCTAGGTAGTAGTATGGTCAACATGGGTGACTGTTTGATATTCTTCTTATTGCTATTATGTGTTCTTGGAATCTGTAATGTTATGCCATTCGATATCCATCGCTTTTCGATGTGGTACCTGATATTTCCTTTATTTATTATAGATCTGGTATATTTGTTCATATCTTCTCCTCTTATTCATGTAATGTCTTTTTGTTTTCAAACTTTGCAATCATTTTCTTTTCTTATTCATGCAGGAGACTATTTTCGTGATTAAGCAATAGATTTCTGACAATCTGAAGCTCGACTTCTTCAACGTGTTCGTCCAATCTAAGTATATATGGGCTGAGGTGTACATTTCATGGGAGGTGTAGAGGATGATGAACCACCTTCAAAACGTGTGAGAATATCCTCTTGTAAATTGGAAGGTCTTTCGAACGGTACATCTCTTAGAGAGCCTGCTAGTGGTGCATCGTGTGATTTAATGGCTCGGCCCCTAGCATCTGAAGGGGACGATGAAGTCGTTGGTCCAAAAGGAGTTGTTAGGAAAGTTGAATTTGTTCGAATCATTGCTGAGGCATTATATTCACTTGGATACAAGAAGACTGGGGCACATCTTGAGGAAGAGTCTGGGATACCATTGCATTCATCTGCTGTTAACTCATTCATGCAACAGGTTCTTGAAGGCAAATGGGATGAAAGTGTAGTTACATTACATAGAATTGGTCTAGTGGATGAATCTATTATTAAGTTGGCATCTTTTGTAATCTTGGAGCAGAAATTTTTTGAACTTCTAGATGGAGAAAATTTCATGGATGCTTTGAAGACATTGAGAACTGAGATTGCACCTCTTTGTGTAAACAGTGATAGAGTTCGTGAGCTTTCTTCGTGCATTGTTTCTCCATCACACTGTGACCTTTTTCGATTTTCTGGTAAAGATACTATAACGGTGAAGCCTAGGTCAAAGTTGTTGGAGGAATTGCAAAGATTGCTTCCACCAACAGTAATGATTCCTGAGAAAAGATTGGTGCATCTTGTTGAACAGGCTCTTGACCTACAGCGGGATGCTTGCAAGTTCCACAACTCGTTGGTCGAGGAAATGTCACTTCTTACTGACCACCAGTGTGGAAGAGACCATATTCCTTCTCAAACTTTACAGGCATGTTCTAATTTTATTATTGTTGAAAGAATGAATAATAGCTGCCTGGACACTAAGCTTTCTGTGCTCATTAATGGCACCAATATTGGCCGTTTACTCTTTCATATATTGTTGCAGTTCCTGCACTGGAAGTTGTAAAGTAATTTATCCCAAGTTACCTACCATTTGTCCGAGAAAATATTTAAGGTCTCCTCTTTTAGTGATAGCGTAGTAGGATCCGTCCTTCACACAAGAGAACTAAAGCACCTATTATTCATACTTCATACTAGATTTCATGAGAAATCTTCTGTTTTAAGGTTTCCACTTAAAGAAATCCATTTCTAAAGAAGCTTCCACATTCAGCCAGAATCATTCAAGGAGAAACAGGCTACTGCTCTTGCATGTTGATATTGGTGGATAATTAGCTTAGTTCTCTATTTGTAGTATGGAACCCATTTAATTCTCAACTTGTTTTTTAAAGCTAGGGAGTAGTATCATGAGTATGGCTTGCATGATAACCAATGGTTCTTTAGTTTTTCGATCTTGATTTTGAATTAATGTGAAGCATCTGGTTCTTTTTCTTGGCAAACCAAATAAGGAGCCTTTTTTTTTGAGAGCGGGGAAAGGTAGGGTGGTGGAGCCACACAAGTTATGTTAATTTTTTTTCCCTCATAAAATCAAAGCACCCCAACAGGAAAATATTTTGCAATGTATTTGTTTGTAGATATATTTAGTTTAAACAGCTCAAAAAGCAAAAGTAAGAAATGTCTAAAGGGTAGCCTTCTGCTTGCTTTTTTGTTTTTAATTCTTTTTGTTGCTACTATTGCTTATTTGTGTTGCTGACTGATGCCTATGTTATGTTGATTGATACTGTATCTACTACTTTTTAATTCTCCTGTTAACCATTTTGCATAGTTTTTCTGATGAATCCTTATCTTTTTCATAACAACATGACTTTTAGGGGCACGTAGCCCCTCTAACCTAATGGAGCTGCAGAGTTGTGGTTGGAATTGAATTATTGCAGCATTTAGTTTTGTGCTGGTGGCAAGATTTATGTTAACTTGGTGCTCTTAAAATATGCTAAGGGATAAGGGAAAATTTGGGGCATACTACTCATGTTATTTTCAATATCCTCCTGCTATTACTATGATGTGTTTAATGCGAACAGAGATATATCATTCTTTTGATAAGGGTCTAAGGTCTTATATTTCTATGTGCGTCTTGTTTAAAATTGCTGATTCTTTCTATGTTCTCTTGATGGCCCAGATACTAAATGAACACAGTGATGAAGTGTGGTTTTTGCAGTTTTCCCACAATGGGCAATATTTAGCCTCATCATCTAATGATCGCACAGTTATCATATGGGAGGTAACTTGGTCTGCTTACTGATGATATAAAGCTACTATTGATCTCGATCTGTTTTCACATTTCCATTCAAGTTTTAGTGATTGTAGGATTCACCTGCATACCATGCTTGCATACATTAAATATGTTAAGTGCTTCTTCACCGTTGCATATGTTTGTGGCTTATGGTCTTCATCTGTCAAACTGCATAAACTTTTCTTTGGTAAAGGATAGTTAATTTCATTAGTGTTAATTGGATATCATTATGGGACGGGGGTTATTTAAAAAAATATGTAAAAAATACTCAGATTGGATTGCTGGTGAAGCAGCATTTCTTCAACTTAAATTTTCAAGATGTTAGGATGAAATCTGCGTTCAGTGCAATTGTCTAGGAGCAGAATGAAGGAAGCTAGCAATTGCACCTTTGGTCTACTGGGATTCACATTAGTAAGACAAGCTTTTCACTCCTTAGAAGACAGGCATCAGAATAAATCTGGAAACTGAATTTTCAGTGAGAAGCCTTTTCTAGATTGAGTTGCATCTCATTTTATAGGGGACGTGTACTCTATACATGACTACTTGTTGGTTTTTCTTCATTATGAAGTAATTCGAGGTTACATCAGCTTGGCCGCTTAATTGAAAGAGCTTCATTACTTATAATTTTTTTAGCCTTACAGGAAGTAATTTGAGAAAAAGAAGTTTGAAGGACTAAGATATGAGTAACTGAATTATGGTGTAGACACAGAAAGGTCAAAACTCTAGGGTTGTCCTATTGAAGTTGGGCTCACAAAGTTCCCGAGTTTGGTCCACTCCAGTCTCTTGCATCTCGTTTTATAGGGGTGGTGTACTCTATACATGGCTATTTGTTGGTTTTTCTTCATTATGAAGTAATTCGAGGTTACATCAGCTTGGCCGCTTAATTGAAAGAGCTTCATTCCTAATAATTTTTTTTAGCCTTACAAGAAGTAATTTGAGAAAAAGAGGTTTGAAGGACTAAGATATGAGTAACTGAATTATGGTGTGGGCAAAGAAAGGTCAAAACTCTAGGGTTGTCCTATTGAAGTTGGGCTCACAAAGTTCCCGAGTTTGGTCTACTCCAGTCTCTTGCCATGTTTGATATGGCTTGCTTCTGTTTGGGACATCAGGTTAAAACATTTTTTATCAAATCTTCTTGATTTGACAGAACTCAGCATGAGTAGGATAAAGCATTGTCTTTCTGGTGCCAGTCTGGATTCAGCTTTTGGAGCTCTATTGTAATGACACATGCACCATCAAAAAGTGGATTCCGCTTTCATTATTTGGCAAGAAACTATTGATATTAGCCTGATTTGTGGATACAATTTTGCCATCTTGCACATCTTGTACAACTTCAATGTTGTTGTGTGTAGCCATAGAATCTCGCTGAAGAAGAAAATGCCCACATTTACTGCATCGCAGGTTACAAGGAATTGATTGTGACCAACTTTTGAGTAAGGATCAACTCCCATTTGCATAGAATCACTCCCAGGATTTGTCCTTCCATGTACACAATCCATGAAAATATCTTGCTGTGGTTCATGTACCACAGGAGGGGCTATGTAGAAACCTTTATTGTGCTCAAGTTGTCTCACGGCTTGACAAGTGTGACATGTGACAACTATAAGATGCGTTGAACATATGACCTCAAACTAGGCCAATGGAATTGATATTCTACCGTTTAGACTTGTTTTGTTGCACCTGAAGTTGCAGCTGCTTCTTTATGCAATTCATATCATATTACCATGTAATGACATGTTTGGAAGCCGTTGTCAAATGTAATTGACAAAATGCCCGTCTTTTGAAAGATTTGAGTCATCTGGTGTTTAGTTACAGTAGTGTAGATTCTGGAATATTCGCATGAAGCATAGTCTTGCTTTAGCAGATCAAATTTAATTGCTTTCGTGGACATGGAGTGAAGTTTGTGAACAAGTCTGCCTAAGGCATATGCAACTTTGTTTCAGTACTGAGCACGTTATGAAAACAAAATTATAATCTTGCAAGAACCTTCCCATTTCCTATGCCAAAAACTCAGCTTCTTTTGATAGGTAAGATATCTTAGAGCGAGTGCTTGATGATCTAAATAAAGCAGAATTCGTTAAGATCTGGTTATGCCTCCAATAGAATGGAACTCGCACTACATCATACAACAATTTGTTGTGTTTGGACTCTCTTTGGCTTGCATTCAATTACTTACAGTTAGCGAGAGGCTTAGCAGGTTAAAGAACATTGACTCTTTCTAGATATGCGTTTGATCCCTTTCTTTTGCTGCAAGCATGAGTCTTTGTCCTGCCGAATAGGTTGGAGCATTTTTTTTTTAAAAAGATTTGTCATTCATATCATCATTATCGATCACATAATTCTAAGTTTCAGCAGCAACAAGTGACTTTTAGTTATTTAATTTGTATGGCTTAAAAGAAGATATAGTTGTTCCAAACTCAGCATTGTGAAATCTGTTGGGAGTCTGATTCTTCAACTTGAACTTCTCCATTTATCATTTTTAGACGTGTCAAATACTCATCAGCAGCTACTCGACAATCACCCATGCAATAGAATACCTTCTCCTGCAGCTCTTTCCTTGTTTGATCACTTAAACCTTCTTTTTATTTGGTTTGTGTTATCTGAGGACTGTCATTTTCTTTCCTTTGGGCAAGCAGCTGAAGTAATTTTTGCACATTTCCAAATTTTAGACAAATGCCCAATCTATTTGTCTAGGTTTATAGGAGCTCCTACCCTATAATTACATGAAGAAAAATCTATACATCTCTTACTCAAAATTTGACTGCAGTTAACGCCCATTTAATAATTTAGGATGTTGCGTTGAAATTTTTCAATCATATTGAGAAATTGGGAACAGAACAAACAACCTATGAAACACATGGGCTTATGGGAAACAAGAATACCCAAAAACAAAGCTTGACGTAGCAAAATTGAATGAGTATCCAACTATGGGCCTGGGCCCAAAATTGTAAAAATTCTTGGTGGCTGGGTGCCCAATTAAAGTTGTGCTATGAGTACCCCAAGTCTGGCCTGTCTTGTTAGAGCTGGTTTCTTGAGTATGACTTGGTATTCATAAGGTTGTTATTCATGTCTGTATTTGCAATGTATTGGTTGCTGCTGTTAAGTAGTTTTCTATTTATATTATATATTTTGGTTGTGAAAATAGAGAACAAGGAGTCAATTAAGTGCCTTACTTTTGACTCTGAATGTCCGTGGTTTTTTTCTCTAACTTGGGACTAAGCCAATCATGAGAGAGACCATGAGTATAATTACGATGCTAAGGTTTCCAATTGTTTTATGGTTTCTATGCATTTGAATTGGAATGAAATTGCATGTATTTGTTACGATCTTATCAAGCTTATGGGTTTGTATTGCCAGACACCTTTGGATATTAGTTAGTATTTTGCATCTAGATTAGGAGTATGAACTTGACTAACAAAATAGGATCAGAGCAAGTATGGGTTGTTTGCCTAAAGGCTGCATGTTGCAGAGGCAATGAATACAAATATTCTTTATGCATGTTGCAGACTGCAGTCAACCATCCTTGTAATTCCATGACCTGGACATGGTATTATATCCATCAGTATGATCCGTAATGGAATTACAAGGATGGTTGAGATTCTGCACTGAACTTATAGGAGTCAGGTTATGCTGAGTGTTTTTGACTTTCATGTTAATTTTGAAACCTGTTGTTTTCAGCTGCTTAAAAAATACAAAAAATGTTCCAAGTCACAATTTCATGAAAGTGAGCTTTGTCTCATCTTCATGTACTGCTACCATTTTTTTTCTAAAGCTGTGGTAGTAATCCATGCAAAGGCTTACATTGTCAAAAAGAATAATGATGGATTTTTGTACCTGTTGATGCTCTGTGATGGTACAAATGAGCATCCTGAATAATGAATTTTTATTAGTTCTACCTGAATTTTGGAAGGAATATTTGCAACATATGTTGAGGATTTAACTTGGATATTTTTTGTTTAGGATTCTGTATAATAGGGTATAAAGATTTGAGTTGCATCTTATAATAGGGTATACAAAAGTTGATAATGAAATTTTTTGATTCATAAATCTTTTGGTCCATGAAGGCTTTGCTTTGTTGATACCAATGCTCAGTGTGTTCTATGTTTTGCTTCTATCATTTTTTATCTTCCAGGGCTGTTAAATTTTTAGCAACTTACCTTGTAGGTAAAAGTGGATGGTCGAGTCTCGTTGAAGCGTAAGCTAGCTGGTCACCAGAAACCTGTGTCCTTTATATCATGGAGCCCTGATGACCATCAACTCCTAACTTGTGGAGTAGAAGAGGTGGTTAGACGATGGGATGCTTCGACCGGTGAATGCCTCCATACCTATGAAAAAGGAGGTCTGGGTGTGGTGTCTTGTTCATGGGCTCCAGATGGCAGAACGGTCTTCACTGGACTGGCTGACAAGAGTCTTATTATGTGGGATATAGATGGGAAGGAGCTAGAGTGTTGGAAGGGGCAGCGGACTAGTAAGATGTCAGACTTGGGGATAACAAGTGATGGGAAACAGATTGTCTCTGTTTGTAAAGATACTTCGATTTTATTATTTGGATGGGAATCCAAGGCTGAAAAAATAATTGAAGAGGATCAAATTATTATTTCATTTGCACTATCCAGGGATGGTAAATCCCTACTAGTTAGTCTTCTGAATGAAGAAATCCATCTGTGGAATATAGAGGGACATGTGAGGCTCTTAGCCAAATACAAAGGTCACAAGCGTTCTCGATTTGTCATAAGATCCTGTTTTGGAGGCCTAGAGCAAGCATTTGTTGCCAGTGGGAGCGAGGATTCCCAGGTATTTTACGTCAAATCATTTATCATACTGTTTATTATGTGGAATCTTGGAATTCTGTGAACTTGATGTGTAGTCACAGCTCAAAAGGTCAAAGCTTTTGAATCGAAACAAGGCTAGTTATTTTCATACCTTGATTTGTTTTAATTGATGGTTTTTATCACTAAAGAAGTTTGAATTCTTATGTTCATGAGAATTCAGTGTTGATCATAATTCAAATCTTACAACTTTTATTTTTTGGTTGGAGGGGTGCAATATGGCTAAAAATTGATTTTTTTTTTGAATCATTTGGGTGGAGGATGTAATATTTTCAAAATTCAAATTTCACTTGCCCACTTCTATGGTACCTTGAAGCTTGCCTACTCTTAATTCCTCTTATAATGGTCTATGTTGCTGCTTAAAAAATTCAGTTGGCTTTATGTTGGATGATACTTGTTTCACAAACCTGAATCAAATTTTCCTGAAGAGATTACCGAAAATTTCCTCTTGGCTTTAGGACATTATTGAGAGTTGCCTTGTGGTTTTAAAGTTTACCATCTATTTCTAGCAGTTAAATACTCAAGCTGGCATATTATCAGATAATAGTATGTAGAAATCAATTTTTCAAGAGAATACTTTAGCATCTGATTAATATGTAATTCTTGGATATTGCAGAAATTCTGAAAAGGTTGACAAAATAATGACTTAATCAACTGGTAAGATTTAAATGGCTTGAGAATTATAATTTATGCACGAATGCGTCAACTTAAAGTGATCATTAATGATTTTGATCTTTAGAAGACTTTTTAAAGTTTACATTTGACGGTGTGTAGAGGATCTTCCGTTTATCCCAAAATGATTAGAATCCTGATCCCAGTGGACACACATACACATTGTATTTCATAATTAGTAATATTATTCCATTTGGAATAATTAAAAAAATGAAACAATTAATCTAGTATCTTCAGACTTAGGATCCTTGGCCTTTTTGGACATGTCGTATAATATAAATTCGGTTGAATTATGAACAAAAAGGGGCATGGTATCGGATCACTGTGGATGTATTACAGGAGAGGGTGGTATTTCATTCAAAAAATCTTCATGTAGTAATATGTTTGCTGTTATGTCTATGCCAGAATATATCATTGAGGAGGTAGAGTCTTCTGTCTGATAATGTTAGAAAGGACTTGTATTTTTTTGGCCTTTTGTTGAGATGTGTTGTGCTTCAGTACGAGACGCAGCATTTTCTAATTGATGTCATTATGTGGACATGAGCATATAGCCTAGAGATGTAGATTGTTAATAGTTGTCTAGGTAATATATGTGCACTCATGTAGTGCAGATTTTTAATAGTAATCTGTGGAGTAGTGTTTTTTGGTCTGGTGAATGATGTGCTCTTCTTGCACATCCACACAAATAAAATTTTTTCCTTTCATGTTGGCGGGGTGATGAAACTATTTGGTTTCTGAGTTTGCTCTCTGCGCTGTGGCATTCAGAAGAAATGGTGGCCACAAGCATGTCTGATGCAGAGTTTCCGGGCTAATATACGTATTTGTGTGGTAGCTAAGATCTGTATTGATCTACTAAATTACAGGTCAACATGTATGTCATGTCCAAGTAGTATCTGCTTTGACGCCTGTGTTGCCTGGTATATTGATCAGTTGCTCCACATTTCAATTTTTTTTTTTTTTGCTTTCAGCATGAATGTGCAAGCTTAATTTCATGATATGTTGCATCTGTTAGTGAGTTACAGCAGTAGAGGAGAATAGGAACCAAACTGTGGCCGATGTTAAGCCGATGTTTTCGGCCATCAAATTATTGTTGCGTATATTAAAGCCTGAGGGGGAACCTTCCCCAACGCAGGGTTTTGTGTGAGGTTTGGGGTTGGAATTTGTTTTGAGTTTAATGCTTCTGTATAAATATTTTTTTTGGTATCATGTTTTTATACAGAATAAAATAGCTACAGTGTCTGTATGATGAGCTAAAAATATCTTCTCCTGATTGATAGGTGTATATATGGCATAGAAGCTCTGGAGAGCTAGTTATGACATTGCCTGGACATTCTGGCACGGTGAACTGTGTTAGCTGGAACCCCTCGAATCCTCATATGCTGGCATCAGCTAGTGATGATCGCACAATACGCATATGGGGTTTAAAAGAGGTAAAAATGAAGCAGAATGGAGCCCATACTAATGGTGTTCACTACAGTAATGGTGGAAGTTGAGGTCTGCATCTGAAAAGCACAATGTCTTGCATTCTTACTATCTCTCACTTTAGCCATGCTTTTGTGTAAATCCTTTTACTTTCATGTTCAGCTGACATTTATAACAACAAGAATGTAAAATGTGCATTCACGCTTCCAATAAACTATGTACTTCTTTTATTTGAATATTTTGTTAGCCATTTCTTATTCCTCATTTTCATATTTTGGTCAATCTCAATGATGCGGGTGGATTGCGAATGATTTGGTAGTCTGATTGTCAATAGAGTAATTCCTTAAAATCTGTTTAGGGGTTTTACCTTTTATTGCCCTAATGACAAATATTTTTCGAACATTTTTGTAAAGGAGGACACATTGTCAATGAAAGCTAAATATTGGTAAAAAAAATTCCTTAGGACACATTTTAGTAAGTTTACTTATGTCTGATAGTGCAATTTCACCAGTTTGCTTTTCAGATATTTTATTGGTTTGGTTTTGGTTTGCTTTTCACACTTTTTTTTTTTTTTTGGGTAGAATGTATTGTACCCAGGTAGCAGTTCAGGTCAAACAGTTGATATGAATTTGAACTCTATGTTTCTAGGGCCAAAGAACTGGTTTTGGTCTCAGGTGTGTGTGTTTGGGCAATGAAGATTCTTTAATAGCAACTTCATTAAACTGAATCTTGAAAGGCAACTTTTACAATTTGCAACCGTCCTTGGAGAAAATTTTGTCAAGTTTGGATTAGATTCTGACTTTGTTCATTCTTTAAGAGAAAGCTTGACATTATAGTCTCTTCATGTCTGTCAAGCTTGAAATATTTAAAGTACTGCTTGCTTTATGATGACATGGTCTTGAATTTTTCCCAGAAGTGAATGGGATCTTGACAAGTCATTTTATGGTTACATTCGTTAAAGTTCAATTTGAACTAGGGAACATTACAATGATGTTTTATACATTCAACTTGTACTTGTGGGACTGACAAGTTCACAGGGTGAAAAGCTCACTCCTGCTTTACTGGTTGAATTACTTAGGTGCAAATTCTCTAGAACTAGAAGAATTGAAGTGATGATCGATTGGGGTAGAAGTACTAAGGCCAAGTTTGGAGTCTGGGGAAGAAAAGCAGAGAAGTGAAAGCTAAAGCCTTATGTAAACGTAATTGCCACATCTTCTCCAGAAGACAAGTCCAAAGTATCAAAAGTGTAGTTAGTGTTAAAACCTGACTTTAGCTGCATGCACCAGCTGAACCACAAAACTGAGAAGGGGAACAAATTGAGAAGGGAATATTGACTGATTTGGGATCTCCCTTTCTCCTCTTTACACCACTTTACACCACTACGAGCCCCATGCTAAGAATGAACTCTGTTTACGGTGTAAGAGTTCCATAGACCATACCATTAATGTTGGTGCTGGAATCTGAACTTTTGTGAGGGATTGTCTAGTTTAATCCATCAGACTACATGGTTTTGTTATTTCATAGGTGTGCCTTTCTTGTGAGAGGTAAACCCCTATCTCATAAGCTAGATACTCTTTCTTTGTTAGGATATTTGACACACTGCCTTGCATTCTCGGAGAGGCCAAGAAGTGAATGGGAAAAAAAAATTGGTTTTGGGAATGGGAAGGGCCAAAAATATTGGAGGGTACATGAAAGGGATGTCATTCAATTTCTCTCCACTGTTGGATGGGATGGAGAAGCTTTTCCCATTTCTCTCAAGTTTCTACTTGATACTCCCCAACAAAAAACCTTTACATTCTCTCTTTTTCCTCTTTTTTCCCACATGAAATATCTCAAGTTTGTTATCTAGACACTTTTATAGTATGTTGATCCTATTGCACAAAAAAGTATGTTGATCCTATTGCACAATTATTGGTTCCACAAAAAAGTCAAGAGAGCAGTAGAAAAATCCCAGGCTCCATGGTTTAAAGCTATAGGGCAGTTTCTGAGTTTGATCCTACTGGTATGTACAATAGCTGAGACCATCATAGATTTTGATCTTTACATGGAGAACAAGAAGAAGGAATGATAAAGCTATTTTGGATCTTCGTATGGCCCAAAGAAATGAAAGTGCTAATTATGGCCAATTACCACATGGCTTGCACCACTAGAAGAGATGAAAGGAGGCAAAAGTTTTGGTTCATTGTAGAGGGTTCTTATATGCAAAGTTATACTTGAATTATCCACATTAGCGTTGAATAGCTCTAAAGCTCCTGGTAGAAAAGTTTGAAGGACTCAACCATACATCCAACACTTTTTTAAGGATGAGTTACAAACAAAGCAAATCCAGAAGTCCATCTCAAGCAACACTGAAAGAACCTGCTGTGCTCTCGATATATTTCCTGGCACCTTTGAACCATCTCTTGTCTCCTGCTTGTGCCTTGCAAATCCAGAGTTTTCCATCTGATACAGTGGCTCTAATAAGTTGGTGTTTTCCTCCCTCATCTCCATCAGCAGTTCTTGTTAACACAGCTATCACATAGTATTGCTTTCCATTAACTATTGGAGTTTCTTGCTCTAATATGTTAGCGGTTGCCACGGTGTTTGGTTCGAATCCACCCTAAGATTTTTAAAACCGAATTATGGTGATCAAAGATGAGGTTAATAAATGAATGCCATCATAAACAAAGCAAAGGATGTTTAATTTCCTAACTAATAATGGAGAAAGTTCATGGAATGTCTGATATCTATGGCTCCGTGTGGATTGGCCGTTTTTTCAAAAACAAGTTTTTCAAATATAAAACTACAGTAATACATAATAACTTAAAAAGAATTTCATCCACACAATATATCAAAATTATCAAAAAAATTTTATATGTACTGTTACAGTAAAATTTTTCAAAAACATTTCCAAAAATAGCTAATCCAAAGTTCATGAGAAGCCATTTTGAGGAATTACATGGATACTTTTTCTCTTGAAAGTGTGAAAGTTATTTAAAAGCACAAGTTGTTTCAAAAGGAACCTCACATGTTCAACTCTTTTGTCAGCTTAAAATGAAATTAAGAAAAACAAAACATCTTGTAGCATCTAACCACATGCTCAAAGCCTAATGCAAATTCCAAAAGGCAATCAGGTTCATATCATTTAACACTGAAAAAGAAGTATAAGAGGTTTTAGCTGTGCAGGTGAATTACCTCTGCTTCAGTTTTGCCAGCGTAGACTTGTTTTCCCAGCAAGTAGTCCACCTGAAAGACATTCAATACTTAGTTTCCTTCCCAATTAAAACTTCAATCCAAAATATGGGAGTTCTGCGTTGAATTCCAAAGACAAAAATTTGATTACCTTTGAGAGGAATTCCTCAGGGGGACCATAGTCAGTGATGGATTTCTTGTCACATGGGATGATTATAACAGAGACACTGCTGTTGCTATCGAAGTTGTCTTCATATCTAAGAACTTGGCCAGGGAACTCAACTTCTTTGCTTGGGTTCCATTTTGAGGGAATCGACAGCTTAAAACCAGCTCCATTGTAAGGAATGTAATCCGTGTTTGTCTTTGGTTTGCCGAAAACATTAGCTGCCATCAACATCAATATGGATTAGCTCCTTGATTGATAAATTTAGTCCTAAGAAAATGGAACCCAAAAACAACTGTACTATGAACGGATGTCAAGGAACTTGTGATTTTGATCCAATAATCAATGACTCTTTCTATGCAATACAACTATTCTAAAGCCTGATCAAAGAAAAGCTTAGCCATCATAAGAAGTTGATTAAGCCTACTACAAGAATAATCTGTGACAAAAATCTTGTCTGAATAAGAAGTTGATTTTCCTAAGAATCTTTCCTCAAGAATCATACGCAGCAAATATAACTATTTCTAAAGCCTGATCACAAAGAAAGATTGGCAAACACAAACAATCTATCAATAGTTAATCTTTCTGGCCTGAAAATACATTAATCCTACGATAAGAATGTGTGACAAAATTCGAGTCCAAGTAAAAAAGTTGGTTTTGCCAAGAAACTTTGATAAAAAATCACATAGTAGGACTATATTATGTGTGTGTGTGTAGTATTACCGGCTTCTCCATAGGCGGCATCAGCAGGTGAGACTTTTGAGCCAACAGCAGCTGCACCAATGAGCAGAGTCAGAGCCAATCTACGAGAAACAGCAGCAACATTGCTATCATCTTCTTCTTGAACAGTCTGCTTTTGGGCACGGCAGACTAGTTGGTTGGGCTTAAGAGGTAGAACATAACGTTGTGATGATGTTCTTGCTGGGGTAGTGATGGCATGATGGTGCAAGAAGCATGCAGTTGAGGCCATTTCTCCTCGCTCTTTACCCTAAGTTTCCCACAGATTCTTTAATCTTCTGGTGTTGTTTTGGACCTTCTGGTGTGATATGGAGAGAGGGGAATAGGGACTCAATTAGCTAAGGTTGTGTTTTTTTCTTTCTTTTTTGGTGATATGTGAAGGGAAATGTCTGGTTTTGGATTTGGGTAGATTAGATTTATGATGTAGGATAAGGTTGTAGAGGCTCTCATTGGTGCCAAATGGCACTGCTTTCTTTTCCACTTTGTTCTGAATTCTAATGCAATCTCCAGGTCATTTGAGCTGGGGTCCCCTATCCCAGATGGAAGAATGATCCATTTTTTACCTAATTAAGCTTTGCATGGTTGGTTTTGAGGTCGGATTGACAAAACAACATCAGTAAATTCTCAGAATATAATAAAGCAGCTCTTTGGTAAAATCAATCGGAGAGGGAATTTAGATAGCAAAAGATAAATAAAGTAAAAAAAATCAAGCATTATATCCATTTAGTATGCAAGTAATTGAGCAGTTGTCAACTTGCAAGAACTAACTGCAAAGAGTTAGTTTGGAGTTGAAATTAAGTCAGCACTCATTTTGAATATCAAGGCATATTTGTACCTCAGCAGGGTAATTTTTAGTACCAAATCCTCAAAAGGAAGGGACTTAAGTCACTAAAGCAAAATTTTGTCCAAAAAACTAAAGTAAAATAAAACAGGATCTAATTGGATGGTTATAGCATTTGCTGCATCCCCTGTTAAAATATGAAACCAACTAAAAGGGCAAAAAAAAAAAAGGAACACGTAAATTCAAAAACAAAATAAAAGTTGCATACCACACTTTCGTAAATTTAATGTAGCTTACTCAAGACGAAAATTAAAAAAAAAAAAAGACAAGAATTGCAAGATGGTATCCATGCTCGAAGGAAATTAGATTAGTGGTGAGATTACACAAATTAAAGGTTATGAATAGTACGACGATACCTGATTTTTAACACCAATTAAAGTAGGAAAACATTCAACTACTAATTTTATTGTACTTTCTTGACATTCACGGTCAATTTTCACCTCAATTTGCATGTAGAGTACCCAGATTTCATGAAGTCCATTATGTTAATAGGTTAAACGGCTTCAACACCCTAACATGTCTGGATTGAAAACCTTATGTTGATTTGCAGAGAAATATTTAGATAGGATGAGCGGTTAGAAGCTCAAGTAGTGCAGACAAAATAGGATTCCGGCGAAGAATTTTCGCCGAGTGGGCGAATTGTATAAACATTGATTATGGAGTCGATGCCGCATTTTAATTGAGGGATTTGATAAAAGATTTGAAATCCTTCCAAATCTTTCTAGTTGTTTAGATTACTTAGAGGCTATTTGAATTTGTAAATCACCAATTATTCTAACGCCTATTCTGATAATTGGTAATTTACAAACTTAGATACCTCTTAAGCAATCCAAACTACTAACGCGATTTAGATGGATTTCAAATCATTTGTTAAATTTCTCAATCCAAATGAAACCTACTATTTGAAATGTTTGCAGGGCTAAAGTTCAAATTTATAAAATACATTTTTGAAAACTTTCATTTTTTACAAGGAAAAATATATAATATTTTTTGGACTTGTGGGATGATGGCGACTCCCCATCCTCCTGTCTTCGTCCTTGATTCAAAGTGATTGGGATTTCAGACGTTTAATGGTCTACATAATTACCTCTCGATTTGGTTTTGGCAAAATGTATTTAGAAGCAAGTGAACAGGAAAAATTCATCCATCCCATCACAAGAAAGCGACTTACTAGCTGATAACAGACTAATTGAGAATGTTACACACCAGAAAATAGTCAGTATGGACTTATTTTCACTTACACCTCGTACCTCATTGCCAGTTTTCACTTTGTAACTTAAATTTCAATTCTGAAGATTTTTTTTTGACAAATCCTGTACACAGGGAGGGATGTCAACCCATTATTTTATTAAAAAATTTTAATAAATGGACAAAAGGGGATATATACCTAACCTCCTTTACATAAGAAAAATAATGAAAAATGAATACTACTCCCTTACAGAAGTGAATCGAATTCCTTACAAGCTTTGAAGATATTGCATCTAAACTTTTAGATTTGTCAAATTTTGATCCAGTTGTTTATCTTGTCATAAAAGTTGAAATGAATTTCCGTAGTGGAAGTTGTTATTTATCTTCAAAATTCAATTTACACTCTTGACATGTTTCTCCTTTCTACTTTGCACCCCCAAACTTCACATTGCACATTTTATCTTGTGTTGATCTATTTCACAATAATTTTTGAGAGTAAAATGGGAATGGTTTATTTCATATTTGGCTTACCTCGTAACATCATATTCGTGGAATATGTTATCTGAATCTTTAAAAATGCAATAAATGTGTGTGTATGGATATACCGAAAGACTTGAACAATATAACCAACAACCTATATATTACTAGGAATAGAACCTAAACATTCTAATCATTGTGTTTGTAACTAACATTCGAATGACGATTTTTTGTAATTCTTGAAATTGGTTGAAGCATTTCTGATATGATATACTTTATCATACTGTAAACAACAAGTTAGGCTTATTAATTGGTAGATAAATCCTCCACAAATAAATTTGTTGCCCTCTACTTCTTATGATATACCTAAATTAAAATCATACTTATTTAGGCATTTGCACTTTACTTTGTGTTTTATAATTAATTTTTCAGTCATTAGCCAAATTCTGGGGTTCTAAATGTCCAAATATTGGAGTTTCGGGGTGCAATTTAGAAGTGGATAATAAGATAGGAATGTAAAAGCTGATTTGTTTTTTTTTTGGGAAAGAAAATCTGAATTCAACTAGCTGACTAACCCTACACCCCAAAAAAAAAAAAGATAAACTAAAAAATTGGATCACATTCAAAGTTGTCAACTGAAAATAAAAAGAAAAAAGGTTACCAGTTCAATATTCAGTAATGCTAGCAACTAAGGTCAATATTTACAGTTTATAATTCTGTGTTTTTACTTGTTAAATATAAAAAAAAAAGAATAATAAGAGAAATAGAAAAGAAAAAATAATTATAAATCTCATTCTTTGTATATGCATACCTAACAAGAGAGTTTATTAAAATGATAAGGCTAATATTATCGTTTTATGTGACTAAGAGAGATAGGTGTAATTTTTAAAACTTTGAAAAAGCTCAATGAAATTGTTAAAAATCATAGGAGAGGCTTCTAAAATTATCTCTATTAACAATTATCCTTAAGAGGGATATCTTTTATAGTTAAAAGTATCCAACGTTATAATTTAAGAACTAAATTGAGAATTAAGATATAACGAGGGGTGCAAAATGAAATTGACCATAATATTCATGCTCATGCATATTGCATTTGGTATTGGGAACTCCTCGAATCATATTCATGGCCCTTGGTAATTATGCTTTGTGTATATAGTTAATGAATATTAATTACAAGTGTTGAAAATTAGGAAATCACTAGTGTCAAAATCTTCATTGGGTTACCTCTCTCTCCTTGATTTCAATGTGAAAACAGCATTTTTTATCCATGAATTTCTTCCCTTGTGATTTGTTGTGTTCCTGAGGCTAGAATTTCTGAAAAATCTTCTATATATCTTGTTTTTGTAATTTGTGTTTCCATAGGAATTTGCTAAAAACCATGGTCTGATTACCTTCAATATTGACATAAAGAATTAGTGTGTATTATTTCCCTGTTGTTCAATAAGATGCCCAATTGAAACCCAGAGATAAAGGACAAATTGATGAACTTCTGGGCATTTGACTTAGACTACTCCGGCCATTCCAATGGTGGCTGGAACCCGTGAGAGTTGCCGGAAAGTCAAGAGTAGCAGCCATGGCGTTTTGGATGTAGGAAGAAGATGTTGAATTTTCTGTAATTGCAACTTAGTTTCTCTAGTTTCGTTTCTTTCTAAACTGTACAACCAACTTTCTGTGATTATTAGTTTGTGCCCACAATGTTTTCAGTTTGGTCCTTAAGATAAACTTACTGGATTCTAGCCTAATTAATCTCTTATCAAGTGTCAATTACTTTCAATCAGTCATTTGTTTTGTCTCTTACTACTCAAGTAAGCCAAAAAACGAGACACATATAGGATCTTTTGTAAATTTTTCTTATTTATTTATTCTTATTTTTGGGAAATAGAGTCGCTTGTTGGAGCACATTGGCCTTAAAACAAAAAATGAAATTAAACTGGCAACCAGGTGCTGCCTAGGTGTAGGTAGGTGCTCAAGTTGGACACCTTGACTTTCCTGTCTTACAACTAAGCTCTCGAACTCATTTTATCTGGCATTTGAAAGATCGGGAATTGTTTAGGCAAAAGGTTTTTACTTTATTAAAAAAAATATATATTTTTTGGCTTAGTATACACTTAAAACTCAATATCAAGTTTATGATTCCTCAATTTGACAAAACTCTTTCCCTAGACTTTTAATGGACCAAAAATATTGCATTTCTGCAACGTACCATTCTTGGTCCCACTTTATGTTTCTGTTTTACTCTTTTTTTTTATTAGAAAACTAGAAAGAAAAATAAATTTTAGCTTTTTTGTTGAGTTGAAAAACTAACTTACTGATGCCGAACTCTGGAGGTTGAGCTCATTCTACATTTTTCTTTTATTTAACCGATTGAGTGGTTTCTATATTATCTCAAAGTTAAAGTTGAACAGTTCATCAATAAGGTCATGGTCTTCGAAAATTTAAACTTCCCATATACATGTTTAATAACTTTGTTTTGCGATTATTTTTCTCTTACCTTTTAAGACATTGATTGATTGACTAAGATTTGGTAAAATTTGTAAATCTTTTAGGGTAAAAAATAAAAAAACCCCTGTGGTAAATCTAATACACAGAAAAGCCCTTCGTGGTTTCAAAATGTACAACACGACATCTTATACTTTAAATTAAATAGTAAAGGTGATGGAATCCGTTAAACTTAACGGAAATGAACGAAATAACCAAAACGTCCTGATATAATTAACTAAAAGACAGGTCAAAAAATCATTTGTTTTATTCTCTAGATAGAGAGAATTGAGAATTAAGAGGTAGAACATGTATATTTATTAAAAATTACATATAATTTTTTTTTTAGATTCCAATAAATCATTTCCGTTAAGTTTAATGGATTTTGTTACATTTACAATT